ATTTTTCAAATCAAAAAAGTCATTATAAATAAAACACCAAAATTCCAAATAAAGACAACATCCAATCTTGCATTTGTACAGTTTGGCCCTCTTGTCTCATCTGAATCCCACTCCTGAGAAAAATAATGCACACTATTTAAAAAAGCATAAAACACTATGGGAAAGAAAGAAACATATTCTTAAAAGGCCCAAGTACAACTTCTGTAAATATGGTCATTGAAACTGAAATCTCAATGGACAAGTTAGATTAGACACAGTTGAAGAAAGAATTTGAGAACTAGAAGATAGACCTAAGAAATGATCCAGAATTCCATACAGAGGTTTTTTAATGTAAGGAACTTTGAGATAAGAGAATAGAATATTTTTTAAAAGCCAATGTACACAAAATCATAGGTTCTGAAGAGAGAATACATAAATAAAACAAAATAAAGACAATATTTGAGGTGGAAATGGATAATAGCTTTCCCAAGATGGAGAAAGACAAGATTCCTTAGATTGCAGAGCCACATCAAGTTTCTAGGGGATGACAAAAATAAATTCTCTCATGAAACAAATGAACAAACAAAAAATAATGACTTTATCACAATTTTTAAAGTATTAATAAAATTATAACATACCAACACCAAAGTTTTACAAATAGAATAATATTAATAATAAATACATCAACTGTTAATTAATGATATGTATTACTTTTAAACTACTATTTACTGAACATTTATTATGAATCAAACTCTAAGTTCTGTACCTTTACTACTCATTTGATCCTCATAACAACTATATTTGCTATTATCCCACTTTGCAGATGTGGGAGTTAAGGCACAGATAGAGGAAAACTTATGCAAGTTCTCACAGACGGTTAAGTAGTAAGCTGGGATTTGATTTCACAGTCTCATTTGGAAGCTCAGGCATTTAATCACTGTATTCCACTGCTTCTCAAAAAGACAACTATTTAAAAGAAATCACAAAAAGACAAATTGTTAAACACATGGAATTACATTCTGAAAGCAGTAAGACAAAATTTCACTCTAAATTTCTATACCCAGCTAACGTGTAGGAGCAATAAAGACAAACAGGACAGAGAGTTTACCACTCACCAAACATCTGTATCCCAAAAAAAGGAAATGGAACCCAAAAGAATGAGCAGGATACAAGAAATACAGTAAGCAAAGAAACCTCTAAACATATTGATGAATCTAAACAAGTATTGATAACAAGTTAACAGGTGAGAGGTGATTCTAAAGAGAGTAGACTAAAATGTTAGCAAACAAAATTATGAAAGATGAGTAAATGGAGTTAAAGCATTTCATCGCCTTGGACTCTTCAGAAAAATGAGCTAAAATATTAGTTTATATATCATTACACATTAAAATTCTCTTAGAATATACAACTTCCTGAAGAGTAGAATGAGGGAATAAACATATTAAAGAAAATTTACCTACTCTAAAGGAAGTCAGGAACAAAAAAAAAGAAGCAAAGAAAAAAATAGAGTAATAACTAATAATAATATATGCCAGACATTTGTCAAAATACAATTTAATCAGAATAAAGATACATGAATTATATTTTTAAAATGTTAATCAAAATAAAGGATGCTCTGACTATATAAATTTATATGAAATATACTTAAAATGAAACATATTATTAAGAGATAAGAAAGATTATTATATATCAGAAAATATAACACATTTGAAACAACAAGCATCAGTAATATACCCCAAAATATTAGACTGAACCATATGTAATGATCAGTGTAGAGCCACTTTTCAACCTAAAATAAAATAAAAGTCAATCGAATTATGGAAAAATGAATTTTTCAAGTGTGACTTTAATATTCGACTGTTACAAACTAAGTGATCAAAAAATAAATAATAATCTTGGAAAGTTAAATAACATAAGAACTTGGTATGATTCACATATTTAGGACTTTATGTCAACTCTTGGATGATCTGCATTCTTTTCCAATTTCCAGGGAATATTGTTAAAAACTGAAATACGTGGCCATAAGGAACATTTCAATAAATATCAAATAATTGATAAAAACCTGGAATTGATAAAACCACATTCTCTAACCACAATACTTTAAAATGAGAGCACAATTCCTAAACAAGAAAGGGAGAGAAATAAGACAAAAATACTCTTGTATGTTTAGAAAGTAAAAAATGATTTTAAGTTGCTCACAGGTCAAAAATAAATCATGATTGAAGTTATAGATAACAGTAGGTTGGTTGATCATGCCCCTGTTTTCCCCATTTAACTCCGTCCGTGTGATTTAACGCCGGGTGATGCTGCTAAGGTAACACAGTGGGCTTCAGGAGCAACAGCCAGGAGATGCCGAGAAAACTGTGAATTCTTAATTAAATTGTTTACTTATCCCACTCCTTTGTCCACTGCATGTGGGTTTGGATTTTATCCAGTCTGTCCCCCATCCCATTCCCCAGAGGGCAGGTAGGAAGTTTCCCCTTGACTGCTGAGATGCCCCAGGAGCCTCCTCACATATCCTCAGAGACTCCTCTCAAAGAAGCTGCAAATGGTGGACCACTGAGAGAGCTCTCATGGGGAAATGTCACTCCAAAATGCCAACTACTTTAACTTACTACAGACGGGCTTCCCCAGCCCCTAATTCCAGGTCTAGACAACTCCAGCAGGCACCATTGGTGACACAGCTTCTCTCCCCTACTCACTGATGTGGGCAGACCTGATTGTCTCGAGTTCCAAGTCAGAGAAGCATGCAACCGTTGAAAACAGGAGATGCCCCCAAATCAGAGCAATACAAACGAGAGCCGGGGAACACGTTGTGGGTCGCTGACCATGCTCCAGTCACCCAAGCAAAACGCTGCCTTAAAATGTCATGTGTGTTAAGACACAAAGGAGAGAGCCCAAGTAAGAAGAGCTCAGCTTTGTTCTCTAGGACTCCACTCCACAAAAGCCCAGAGATTCCATCAACCACATGCTCCCAGGAACCTCATAATGTCAACATGCCAAAGGAACCCAGAACCTCAGGAGAGGGGTCTAGAACGCCGGAGAAAGGATGGACAGGAATTCTCATGATCCCTGGGGTTTTGTATAAAGGCTAAAAGCCGGTGAAATTCCAACAACACATTTGAGTTTGGACACCATCCTAAGAATGCCCCATTTAAGTATTTGGAAGAACACCCACTGGAGCCAAAACTTGAGGGCACGTGACACCACCAGGTAATCCGCTCATCTCCCCCACTCACCCCACCCCACCTTTTCTCTTTCTCTGTCCCTTTACGTCACCATGGACAAACTCAGAATTTGGTTAGACCAACCTTCCCAAGGTAGAGGGTTTGGCCAATGGTCAGCCAGTATTGTCACAACGTGAGCCAATAAAACGTGACTTTCCATATTGTTTCCCTTTAATGTTATGCTAAAAAATGACCTAGTAAGTAAAAACAATGATTACGTTAGATAAAATTCATCCACTACCCTTACTACGACTCTGGCTCACAGGGGAAGATCCAGAGTAAGGGCCAGTCTTGTGAGAGAGTTGGACAGAGGTCGCCATTTACCCAGAACCCTGGGGGGTTTAAAAGCCAGGAAGTTCATTAATTTTTATAACCACCTGCTTCCGCGGGAGCTTCCCGTCCTCCTGATGGCAGACGAAAATTAAAATTGCCCATGAGAGGTAACTTATTCTGCTCCTGTTGGAAGCAGCTCACTCTGAGGTTAGCTCAGCTTCACTGGGTAAATACCCCGGATTCAAAGGCTCTTCTCGGGGCCACCTTGCCCACCACCCCTTCCCAGGATGGTATCTGGATGCAGAGGGAAGTCCACATGTCCTTCTGTAGGTCCTCAATTACAGATTGGTCTTGTCCCTAAATGTCCCTGGCTGGTGTGGCTAACTGATCCTTGTGGGTAGGCTTCTGCTGCTGAAGTCCACGGCCCCAGAGGTCCCTCAAGTCACCAGGCCTCTGTGCTTTGTGGCCTCTTGCTTCTTTGCCGTGACCACAAGCTTATGCCAGGACATCATTTAGGTGACCTCTTCCAAAGAGGACAGGAGCTCCGTGCCATGAGGAACCCTCTACCTGTCTGTTCCACCATTTTCCTGCCGTGGTGGACGCAGCAGAGAGGCAGAGGTCAGGCCAAGACCTGTCGACCCTCCCTCAACCAGCTGCAGCTTCTGGGAGGGTTCCTTAAGCCTTATCCCTCCTGGCCCCACTTCTGGTGGACTGGGGGAAGAGGACTCAGCTGAGGTCCGCATCCTGCCCTCTCAGCCTGGTCTCCTCCCCCTGTGCCAATGGTTTCCGTGTCCTCTTCCTACCTGTGGAAGTTTACCAGAGTCTCGCCTTGTGCACTGGCTCATCTTCTTTGCTTTTCCACCTGAGTCGTTCTGATTTTCTACACAGCGCTGAACCCTGCGTCAGCAATGTTTATTTAAGATAAGCCAAATGGTTTTGATAAAAGGGATTATTCATAAAGACATCAGAGAGCTATAGGAGCACTCCAAGAAACAGCACAGCAATAGTTATGGGCACACACAAATAGATAGCAGTGAACCCCACTGTAATGTAGAATTACAATGTTAAAAATAAAGAGAAAAAAGAGCCGGTGTAATCATTACCCACCCCAAGCTCCAAGACCCGCTGATCTGAGGAATGTTACCAAACCCAGAAGGAGAGAATGTATGGAGAGGAGTAATAGCATTCATAGAATCTTGGAAGGCTCAAGGCCACTTCCCCTCAGGCAAGGAGGTAGGCAAGGGGTTAAGTACTGTTATCATTATCCACACCCCTTTTTTATTGATTCTTTTTAGTTATACATGACAGTAGAATCCATTTTGATAAAATTACACATGCATAGGTTAGATCTTATTTTGATGAGGACCCCATTCTTGAGGATGCACATGATGGTGAGATTCACTTAGATATTTTCATATATGTACACAGGAAAATTATATCAAATTCATTCCTATCTCTTTTCCTATTCCCATCTTCCCTCCCTTCCCTTCATTTCCCTTAGTCTAGTCTACTGAACTTTTCTTCTCCTTCTTTCCTTTATTGTAGCTTCCACATATCAACAAAAACATTCAACCTTTGATTATTTGGGATTGGCTTATTTATTTAGCATGTTCCATTCATTTACTGGCAAATGCCATAAAGTCGTTCTTCTTTATGGCTGGGTAATATTCCACTGTGTATATGTACTGCATTATCTTTATCCATTCGTCTGTTGAAGGGCACCTAGGTTGCCTCCATAGCTTAGCTATTGTGAATTGTGCTGCTATAAACATTGATGTGGCTGCATCACTATAGTGTGCTGATTTTTAAATTCTTTGGCTACATGCTGAAGAGTGGGATAACTGGATCAAATTGATGGCTCCATTCTGAGTTTTTTGAGGGCTCTCCATATTGCTTTCCAGAGTGATTGCACCAATCTGCAGTCCCACCAACAATGTATGATCATACCTTTTCCCTCCACTTCCTTGCCAATATTTATTGTTGCTTGTATTGGTAGTTACCATTCTGACTAGAACGAGATGAAATCTCAGTGTAGTTTTATTTTGCATTTCTCTAATTGCTAGAGATGTTGAACATGTTTTCATATATTTGTTATCGATTCATATTTTTTTCCTTTTTAGAAGGGTCTATTCAGATCCTTCGTCCACTTATTGATTGGGTTATTGGAGGTTTTTTGGTGTTGAGTTTCTTGAATTCTTTGTATATCCTGGAAATTAATGCCCCACCTAAGGTACAGGTGACAAAAATTTTTCTCCCATTCTTTGGGCTCTCTCTTCACACTCTTGATTGTTTCCTTTGCTGTGAAGAAGCTGTTTAGTTAAATGCACCCCATTTATTGATTCTTGATTTTATTTCTTGCTCCTTAGAAGTCTTGTTAAGGAAGTCAGTTCCTGATCCACTATGTTGAAGTGTTGAGTGTACATTTTCTTCTAGTATGTGCAGGATTTCTGGTCTAATTTCTAGGTCTTTGATCCACTTCACATTGATTTTTGTGCAAGGTGAGAGATAGGGGTTAACTTTCATTCTATTACATATGGATTTCCATTTTTTCCCAGCACCTTGTTGAAGAAGCTATCTTTTCTCCAGTGTAAAGTTTTGGTCCTTTGTCTAATATGAGATTACCGTATTTATGTGGGTTTGTCTCTGTGTCCTCTGTTCTGTACCATTGGTCTACAAGTCTATTTTCATGCCAATACAATGCCGCCTTTGTTACTATAGCTCTGTAGTATAATGTTAGAGTCTGTAAACGAGTCAAGATGGCGCCTGGCATTTTGCGAGAGGGAGTGGTTTGTGAAGTAACTCCAGCGAGCCATTAAGTGTGGAGATTCCTTATTGGTTGACTCCTGTATCTAGTTTATGTTAATTAGATAAGCTGTGTGGAATGTATATATACCCCTCCTGTCCTACAATAAACGGCTCCCACTCCTGCTGTATCAATGTACACAAGTTGTTCGTCACCCCCGGTTATTTTGCTGCAGCCTGACTGCGGCAGTATAATTTAAGGTCTGGTATTGTGATACCTACAGCTTCTTTTTTTGTTTTTCCTCTAAGGATTATTTGACTATTCTGGGCCTGTCATTTTCTCAAATGAATTTCATGACAGCTTTCTCTATTTCTTTTTGCATTTCTCTAATTGGAATTAGAGAAATGCAATTTCTACATTGAAATTTTGATGGGAATTGCATTGAATTCGTATAGTGCTTTTGGAAGTATGGCCATTTTGACAATATTAATTCTACCTATCTAAGAACATGGGAGGTCTTTCCATCTTCTTAGGTCTTCTTTAATTTCTTTCTTTAGTGTTTTGTAGTTGTCATTGTACACATTCTTCACCTCTTTTGTTAGGTTAATCTCTGGTCAGTGTCAGTCATCCTTCCTCCTTTTGCCTTCCTGATGAAGCTGTCCATCGGCCTAACCCAACCGGACGCCAGAGGCCAGTGAGCCACTGACATGATCCAAACGTGTCAGCACCAGGAGGCAAACAGAAGGTGCCCTGTCAAACACTTCCCTGGAAGGGAAAGGAACAGGGGGGTCAAGTACAAGCAAGTATGAAAAAGAAAAACTACGCTATTTTTCAAAACTATTATATACTGGTAACATTTGTCTGTCTTTACCGGTTTTATTTCTATCAGTGCCCATCTAAGTATCCCTGGGGAACCCCAGGGGTACCAAAATACACAGACACCCAAGTCCCTCATATAAAGCACCATCCTATTTGTGGGAACTACACATATCTTCCCGTGTATTTTAAATCATCTCTAGAGTACTTATGATACTTAGTTCAGTGCAACTGAAAACTCAGTTTTTCTCCCAAATATTTCAGTCTGCGGTTGGTTGAATTTGTAGGTTGGGAACGTTTGTATACAGAGGGCTGTCTGTAATGTGGACCATGAATTAAATGCTCATCCAACACGTCTCAGTAAACAGCACCTCCGTGATTCTGGTTGCTCCTCGCATTAAACTTAGGAGACATTATTAACCCCTCTCCCTCCTCTCATACTCCCGCATAACCACTAGCAAATCCTGTTGAAACCAATCCCCAACTCTCCATCTGCTGATACCACATGGTCCAAGTCATCTCTTCCTGCCCCAGAAGAATACGTTCTTCTTTAGGCTGTTCACAAACAGCTGCCAAAGTTACAGTGAGTTCCAGTTCAATGCCACTAATTCGCAAAGTCGCCCGATGATAGTGAACAGGGGCTAGCACTGAGTCTTTTTCTGTTTGCCAAGCACTGTGGAAAATCTTTTTTGTTGATGTCATTTAATCCTCAAAAGGACCTTCTGTGGGGATAAACATTATTGCCATCTCCATTTTACAGATGGAGTGTCTGAAGCTAAAAATGCTCATTTTTCAACAGTCACAATATAAGATCTAAGACCAGATTGTCTAAGAAGGTGGGGAGCCAGGGAAGGAGTAGAGACCTGGAAACAACCTGTCTTGGAGGTCACTGCTGAGGGTCATCATCTGGAATGGTGGGAATCCTGTTTTTATTGAACGGATGTTACAAGAGAAGCTGCCAATCCACGTTGCATAGGAGAGTTCTCCATTTTAAACTCTGTTCAATTTAAATTTTTAATTCAGTTTGAAAAATGAGTGAGTGAAAGTCAACACCCCAGGAGTTTCCATTTTGCAACCTTTGCTAGATTATAACAGGTCCAAAACCCACCGCATCCTTCCAACACCCTCCACCCCTTCCCAGGGTTGCCAGCCCAGAATTGGCGTCCCCTGTCAAACCGACAACCCTCTGTTTGCAAGCCTGATGATAATGACATGATATAAACCATTTGGATTACCAGCATGGATTAAGTACCATGCTAAGAACCTGACATGTGTGATATCTTCTTCACAACAAGCCTGAAATTTACAGATGTATAATTATCCACTGAGGTCAAAGACATGACGTCACAAGGTTTAAGTTACAAAATAGAAAATAGCAGAGCTGAGGACTGAACTCAGGCCTCTCTGACTCCAAAATGTAAGCTTTTTCTACCAATGGCAGAGGACTTTCACCCAGCAGGACCTTGAGATTCTAGATGCACAAATCAAAAACCCACTGGGAAAAATCTGTTCTTCCACATCAAGTCTCAGTGATGAGGTCCAAATAACGCATTTCTCTTTGCAGAATGCTAACCGATCATCGGACCATTATGCTTCCTAAGAGCCCCAAACAGAAGAAGAGATAAGCCAAGCAAAGAGCAGGGCAGGCCTGTGGAAAAACAAACAGGATCTGCAGAAACAAATCGGCTGTAGAAAGAGCTACAGGGGGCCCCAGCTATTTTTATTTTGATTTACAGAGAGAACGTCATGTTAAAGAGTAGCTTTTTAAAAATGAGCTGCCCTCCTTAGAATGCGAAGGACAATCTTCAATAAGTAGATCTTATCGTCTTCTGAGCACAAGTCCATCCTTCTCTCTTTGAATCATAACCCCCATCCTCTTTCTGGATGTTTTAGCCACCCCCTCAGCACAAGCAGCCTTCCAGCTCCCACATGTCAACTAGCATGTTATTTGTAATATGGTCACCAAGTCTGGCCGGAGAAGAAGTGGCCGGCCGAGGAGAAAAATCTGTGATTACATATTTCCATGTGCGATGTCATTTGCTGGATTTATTGCCAACCCTAAAATTGTCTCCAGTTTCCCAAACGCTGGCTGTTTCAAGCTCTACTGCATGTTCTTTCAAATGTTCCTATTGTGATTTTTGAGAGGTCTAGAGGCATAAATTAGAAGGGTTAACTTTCAAGTGATGTTTTGCCAAAAGACTTCTTTGCTTCTACGGAGTGCTTAGGAACAGGTCTCCCCAGTTAATGTTTCCAAGATGGGTTTCCTTTCACCACCCTCCCACCAAACAGCCCTTCCTTCCCCGGGACCCCCGCCCATCCATCATCCACACCCTAGTTCATGCCAAAACACTAGCAGCTCCCTCGTCTCCCCCTCCCTAGCCCCTCAAGCCAACGTGTCAGCAACCCTTGTTTGTCAGTGGTGCCCTAAAAACCTCTTTCCACCCCTCCCTCCCTCCAACTCTCCCTCTCTCCTCTCCAGTGATGCTCTACCAGCACCAACCACTGCTCCATCCTGCACCCAGACAACCAGCTCCTACCCCAGCCTCTGGAAAGCCTGATTTTCATAAAATGCAAATTTTCATAAAATGACATTACCCTCCAACTCTCTACCACCCCCCACCCCCGGCTCCTACTGCTTTTAGGACAAAGTCAAAAATCACAGCCACTTTCGACGCGACCTCCTAGCCTGGATCAGGCTTCTGTGCAGGCTCACCTCATGCCACGTCTCCCACCCTCTGTCCACTCTGACCCCACTGGCTTTTTCTCATCCTCAAATATTGCAAGCGCTTTGACCGCATCAAAACCATGACAGCTGCCTCTTCCTCTGCAGGAACACCCCATCCCCAGCTACTCTCAGTGGTTCATTCTTATTCTCCAGGTCTCAGCTCCATGTTCCCCCTCTAAGAGCCTTTTCTGACCACCCAGACTAAAGGTGGTCCTTGACAGCTACTCCCTGTCCTGCCCTCCCTTCTTTCTTTCCTTTCTGGAACCTTCCATGAACTACAATTACGCGACTTTTATATTTACTGTCTTTTTCCTACTGTGCTCAAAACATCTAGCAGAGATCCTGAGACATAATGGCAAAAATAAATATTGAGTGACTGGAGCCCACAGTCACCAAGTGATGCCTCCAATAAAGCACACATCAGAGTCAAAACAAGAGGTGTCGCCGCCCTGTGCATGAGAGCAAGCGGCCAGATAAACTTAACGAAAAAAATATGCTTTCTGTTAAGATTAACGGAAGATATTTTCTAACTGATTACATGGAGCTGGGAAGGGGGATGCGAAGGTAATAAACACGTTTAATTTGAAACAGATGAAAATCTGGTCAGTTCCTTCCTGGTTTCTTGACTCAGGGCCTTTTTAAAAAAAAAAATTGTCTTTTAAAAATTTTATGAGTATAATTTCTAAGCATCAGAATTTGTCCTGGTGAAAGGCACTGGATGCCCGGTCCATCTTGACAAGGCCTGGCTTAATTGAGTCCTGTGGGCTCATTTGCATATCTGCCAGATTCAGGAGGGAGCTGGTAATGCTGAGCCACAGCTTTATAGACCAGAATCCCAAAGTGAGCAAGACACTTTCAGATCCTTGAAGAGGGCACTAGGGAAATGTATAATAACACGCTCATTGAATATAGATTTCCTTAAAGTGCCAAAATGTGCCTTGGGGTTGTCAAATTCACCACTTGCTGGAAAACTTGGAGGAAATTAATGAATGGAGAGAGCAGATGTTTTTCCAAGCTTAAGAATTTTGTTGGCCTAAAAATCTGCCCAGCTACACATCACTGTGAGGCTCATTAATGCCTTAAGCTGGGTCTTTTGAGAGGAGCAAGAGAAGTAGACGGAGGTTTCACGAACCACAACTTCAGAAACCAAGCTCAAGGTCATAAAAGAAAAATGAGACTCTCTCTTTTTTTTTTTTTTTAAATCTGGATGGCATGAAGAAAATTTCAGAATTCTGTCCAATATCTATGAAGATAATTCAATGACTGATGTTCCCATTAAGGGTCCAGTAGGGACTCTGTTATTTCTAAATCTTTAACCGTTACCTTCTAATGACTGCCTTTAGGATGCTGGTTTTCAGATTAAATTTCTTTTGTTTTTTTGAGGAAAAAAAAATTAAACCCATCTTAGATGTTACCCCTAGTACTTCTGCAGAGAGAAGAGCCACAATGCCAAAGCCAAGCCGTGTCCTGCTCTCTGAGCCCTTAACTGATCCCAGGACACTGTTAACCAATCCCAGGCCCAGCCTTTACAGGACCTTCTCGTCACCACTGTGAATTTGGGGCTGACTAAAACGCTCCCCCAGACTGTCCTCCCCCATAGTTAATATTCTGGGTGTTTTAGTCAGCTGTTCACTATGGTAACCAAAAGACCTGAAAAGAACAATTAGCGGAGGAAAACTTTATATGGAGCTCACAGTTTCTGGGGTCTCAGTCCATAGATGGCCCACTCCATTCCTCTGTGCCCAAGATGAGGCAGAGCACAGAGGCAGAAGGGCATGGGGAAGGGTCTAGAGAGGAAGCAGCTCAGGATATGGCAATCCAGAAATGGGGGCAGAGAGTTCTGCTCACCAAGTCAAAATATATGTCCCAAAGGCATGCACCTGGTGACCTACCTCCCCCAACCACACCCTACCGGCCCAGGTGACCACCCAGTTAATCCCTACAGCAGATTGACTTTTTGATTAGTTAGGGCTCTCATAACCCAATCATTTCACCTCTCAACTTTCTTGCATTGCCTCACACCTGAACTTTTGGGAGATACTTCCTACTTAAACCATAACACTGGGATTGATCAAAAGGCATCCAGACTTTCCCTTCCCCTTAGTTGATATTTTGAATCTGCCATTTTTGTTCCTCTCTGTCTTCACCCAGTGTTTTGCCGTCCACCCATCAAATAGGGGCAGGGCATCTGCCTCTTGCACGATCCAGTGCTGCATGTTAGAGACCACTGTTCAACAGGTGGCCAGAATGCCTGACCTCGAGGCGCACATACTTTTCTTATAGCAGAAGGTAGCGTGAGAACGGACCCTTGAAGCACAACTGATCATTAATAAAATGAATGTATTTGCCCGGCTCTAGGATCCAGAGGAAGGACAGGGCTATGTTCGCAGGTGGGAGTCAGGGGTTATCATGGACAGAGCCCTGAAGGAAGTGACAAGTGGACATTCTCAGGAGGATGGGGAAGTGCTGCATTCCCACCAGAGGGAGGGACCCAGGCCAAGTCCCAGAAGCCTGAGAGCCTGAGGCATTTTCCAGGCTCGGGTGGTTCTTCTGGTGTATCAGTGCTAGGGGAAGGAGTGAAGACGGTGCAGAAGTGAGCAGGTTCGGATCAGGAGGACTTGGAGGGGAGAAGACCTGGGTGCTTGAGAGTCCCTGAGGAACTGTGTCATAAGTCAAAAAATAATAATAATTGACATAATGTAGGGTGGGGGCAGAATCTCACGTGCAGATGTTGCTCTACCCACAGAACAAAAAGCATGGTGTCCCCACCGGAGGCCTTAGTGTGGGTCACCTATCTGACTGCTCTGGAGAACACGGTCACACTCTTCTCCTAATTGTGGAAAGAAAGAAAGAAAGAAAGAAGGAAGGAAGGAAGGAAGGAAGGAAGGAAGGAGGAAAGAAGAAAAGAAGGAAAGAGTCTACCGAGAGCATCAACTTCTTTTCATCCAGGTTAAATCATTCTTCATGAAGCTGGACTCCAGTGCAACCCCTTGTTCTCACGGCCACATGCTGGCCACTCATTTGGGGACTGTTCCATTCTTCAGACCCTCAGAACTAATGGTGGATTCCTTCTCTGTTTAGAGTTCCCTGTGAGAGGAAGAGGAAGAACAAGAAGCAAGAAGACCCACCTGAAGACCAGCACCCGCCCCACGGTCGGTCACTGCAGAAGGAGGAGGGAGCCCTGGGCACTGAGAACAGAGCAAAGGAGACAGGAGAACAGGCTCCCGAGGAAGGTCCTTCTCCCAGCAAAACAGAACCTCAGAAAGATGCAAAAGGTAAGGCCAACCCGGGCCACTGTGTGCGTTGGCTTTTGGTTGCTGCGACCAAAATGCCGGTCAAGAACAACTGAGAGGAGGGAAGATTTACTTTGGCTCATGGTTTTAGAGTTCTCAGTCCACAGTTGGTGACTCCACTGCAGAAACATCATGGCAGGAAGGCAGGGTGGAAAAGGCTGCTCAGTTTATGGCGGCCAAGAGGCAGAGAGAGAGAGAAGAAGGGGCCAGGGACAGACATAGTCCCCAAGGCCATGTCTCCAGTGACCTCCTTCCTCCAGCCACACCCCACCTGCCTCCAGCTACCACCCAGTGGTTCATTTGAATTATTAATCCATCAAGTGGATTAATCCACTAATGAGGTTATAAACTTCATGGTCCAACCTTTTTGTTTCTGAATGTTGCTGCATTTCCTAACACATAAGTTTGGGGAGGAATATTCTAGATATGAACCATAACAGCCACAGACCCAGGCCCAGTGTACTTACAGGCATCCTTTGGGCTTATGAAATGGAGCTCTGAAGCTGGGCCAGGGCAGAACTGACGTCATAAGACAAGACTAGTACATATATGTTGTTCAACGGTTGTAAAAAGAAATCTGCAGAGCTGCAACTGAACTTCTGGCTCAGAAACTGATTTTCATATTTAGGTGATATCCATCATTGGGCCACAGTGGACTGTGACCAATTTATTGTCACCGTTTCTGCAGAGTTGGGCTTTTCCATCCTGGACCTCGTCTCCCAGCCCAGTGAGGTACACACTTGAACCCCAGGAACACTCCAATAAGACAGGGAACAGACACTAGCCAACCAGTGTCTTTTCAAGTATGAGGATAGAATCACCCAGGGCCAGCAGTGGAGGTCTTCGGAGGACAGGGCAGCATCCTGAAGCTGACACACAGAAGACAACTGAGCTGGCTGATGCATGTCCCCACCTCACCTCCTTCCTCCTCTTGTAGATTTTTTTCCTCCAGTTCCCCCTCCCCTCGTCTCTTCCCCTTTGCCTTGTTTGTGGCTCTGAAGCCCTGATTTGCCACCCAGGGCTAAACACCCAGAGGATCTGTATGGTCAGTGCAGAGAGCTGCAGAAGATACCAGGAAGTCATCTCTGCGTTCCCAGTTCTTTCTCTAGCTAAAGAAATCAAACTTTGTGCAAATACGTGATGCATCCTCTAAGTATGCATAGAGGGAGAGAAGCCACGGGATACTTTTAAGGTGAGAAGTGATCTTTAAGCCTCACATGCTAATTGGGAGATGCAACCCCTCAGATCATTAGCAGAGTTATTACCTACTCCAGGTGCTAACAGGAATGACAAATTGCAGCTGCCAGAAGGGGAACATAAATTCTCCCAACTATCTCCAGGCCCTGGTTGCAGAGTCAGACCGAGTTTTGAGTTAAGCAGATGCTATGCATTTTTTTTTTTGAAAGTCACGGTTCTGACTTCCCAGCTTGAGTCATGTTCTGGCTCATGAAAACTGTGGACATGTGAACGTGATAAGGAAGAACCTAGAAAATGGATTTTATTTTTGCAAAGACCCAGTCTTCCTGCCGAGGACTGGAACTAGTAATTAAGGAGAATTGTAGGGTAAGGAAAATGGAGAGAACAGAAGTAGCACACGTGGAAGAGAAGAGAGAGGAGACCGTCTACCTTAGGATGAAAGCTTTGGCTTTGAAGCAAAAAGTGCAAAATCTTCTCTGAGGACAGAGTTCAGAGAGAGATGTCAACTTCAAAGGCTGCGGGGGGAAAACTCCTGACCCTTGCCTGTCCCCTGTCAGACGCTCTACGGGAAATCCCCCAAACAACCCGCACAGCCACATTGACTCTCGCCTATTCTTCCAGACACCCCAGTTTATTTTTCTCTTCAATTCTGTCCAGAGATCAAAGCTTCCTTCCCTATTTTTTAACCTCCATTTTGGGCATTGATGCAGAGTCAGCTAGTTGACAGGAATTTTTAGAGAGAACTCAGGCAACAGAAATAGTCATTTTTACACTGAACAAATATTCGCTAAGCACCTACTGTGTGTTGGGCGCTGTTCCAGGTACTGAAAACATATCAGTGAATAAAACTGATGAAGATGGTCAAAGACACTAATGCAGAGCCCACCTAAAGGGTTCCATTCCCTTCTCCGAGCAATGTTAGGGGAGGGGGAATTTGAATACCACTCCCCCCTACCTGGGTGGTCCTGTTTGGAATAAGACAATCATCTCAGGAGAAGGTGAGTGTCTGCTTCCTAAGAAAGCCTGAGCTCAGAAGGTACAGCCTGCCCCCACTCAAGCCTATCTGCTTCTTATTTTCCTCCCACTTGAAAGTGAATAGATTTTCCTCCCATCTGGGGTTTCTACCCACTTCTGACCCTGAAAGCTCAGGAAATTGCAAAGTAAATTTTCCAGCAGATACTTTAACCAGTGTCAGGCAGGCTCCTGTAGCCAGCCCCATGCCCGTGCTCCATCGTGCAAGCCCAAAGCACCACAGAGAGAAGGAGGCCGGAGCGGTGGACTGCTGGCCTTGGGGGTGGCCCGCTGCAGAAGACAGGTTGAGTTTCATCGTCTGATGAGGATTCCTAAGCATGCGGGAGATGGGTGCACGTGCCCGAAAAAAAAGAGACTCAAAAATATTTTTTTAAAAAATGGTTTTGCTTGGAAATGTGTGGTTTCCGCAGCAATTTGGGGGATCTAAGCTCAGAGAATAGTGAGAGTGACTGACCAAGGAATCCACAGCCCTCCCTAGCCAGAGCACCATGGGTCATAGGCCGTGGAACCACGGTGCCTGCATATGATCTGCCTCTGCTTGAGGATACCAGGCAATTTGGAAGATTGTCGGGAGCTGCCCTGGATGCAGACACCTTTAAGTCCTGATGCACTGAGTTCTGAACAATTACTGCCTTCAGTCTGGCACAGCAGGGCCAGGTCACAGTGACTTGGGTGTTACCCAGCTCAGATAACAAAGCATGGCTCCAGGAGTAGATGTCACCTGCTGAGGCTGAGTTACACTCACCTGTTCCTTTGTAATCCTACCCCTTTGCCCTTTGGGGGATAGAATATTCCATGGAACAGCCAATAAAAGCCCGGGTTCAAGGCCTGCTCTCTCTCTCTCTCTCTCTCTCTTGCCTCCTTTGTGGCCGCTCGGTCAGCAGAGCTGTCACAGAACCCAAAGAAAAAGGTCTTCCTCTGTCTCTATGTGATGATTTCGTGCCAGCCCAGTTCACCTGGAGTGACCCTGACTGGTTTAGTGGTGTGTTGCGACAGAAGATTGCACATCAAAGGGAAAGTCTGCTCCAATTTGTCCAGAGTCAGGAAAACACATCTTTCAGACAATATTGGGTAACTGCATATCCTGTCCAAACATGCTAACTGGGTCTGGGTGGCGTGGCAGACACAATTTGGGTTTTATTGTTGTTGTTCTTTTTTTTTCCTTCCTGAAAGGAACAGAAGACTTGAAAAATAAAGGAAAGCAGGTAGCTCTGAGGCTCAGAGAGAGTGAGCTGTGTGGCACGTGAAACTCGCTGCAGGTCTTGGTGTCCTGGTCTTCCATGGTGCAGAATGGAACTCACAACACACACAGAATCCGAGAATCAAAAAGTTGGGTGAGGGGCTGGGGTTGTGGCTCAGCGGCAGAGCACTCGCCTCGCACATGTGAGACCCTGGGTTCGATCCTCAGCACCTCATAAAAGTAAATAAACAAAATAAAGATATTGTGCTCATGTATAACTGAAAAAATATATATATTAAAAAAGGTTGGGTGAGATTTTTTTTTTATTAGATCTTTATGGTTATAGAGGAGCAAGATCTTCAAGGTTATAGTCTGACCACTTAAAGCCTGACACATAGTAGGTGCTAAATAACTGTACAACTCACCAACTAATTCACCAAAGAACCCAACACGAGAGCACATTACCCTGTGCCTAGAACAGTGAGAGGTAGTTCAATCTGCACTAAAGTACAACGAGGAGGGGGACCTTCCACTGAAATGGGCCCCTGTCTCTGGCAACTAGGGCCCTTAGTGCTGTAGACAAATCCAAACCCACCTTCCAGATGCTTCCATCAAAGGTCCCAATCCCACTCACTGGGGTAGAGCCAAATAGTTTGATCCCAACTCTACAACACAGCCTTTCAGATATTGAAAACAACTGTCCTGGCCATGGCAGTGGTGCACGCCTGTAATTCCATTCCAGCGGTTCGGGAGGCCAAGGCAGGAGCATCGTAAGTTTGAGGCCAGCCTGGGCAACTTAGTGAGGTCCTGTCTCAGAATAAAAAAATAAAATAAAAAGGGCTGCAGATGTGGTGCAGTCGTAAAGCTCTACAGGTTCAATCCAGGAAAGAAAGAAGAAAGAAAGAGAGAGAGAGAGAGAAAAGAAGGAAGGGAGAGGAAGGAGGGAGGGAGGGAGGGAGGAAGGGAGAGGAAGGAGGGAGGGAGGGAGGGAGGGAGAGAGGGGGAAGGAGGGAGGGAGGGAGGAAGGAGACAGAACTGTCTTGTCCCCCACTGAGCCCTCTCTTCTTTAGGCTAAAGACTTTGGATTACTCCCCGCACATGTTAACACTTGACAGTTTCCAAGTGTTTTCAAATGCTTGGGGAATTTACTTTATAAAGCACATTTTTTTATATCAGAGAGAAGTGAATTTGGCCTGAAGGATAAAAAGGAGGAGTATAGGAAGAGAAAGGCACTCCCTCCACTTAGCAGTCTGTCTGGAGGAAGGCAGTGGGGGCTGGTAGGTGGCTCCGTGACCCATCAGAGAGCCGGCATGCATAGCTTTCTGCTCCTCCTTAGTCTCATGTTGACAAGATGGCTGCTCACCTTGGTGCATCCCAGGCACATTCCAGGCAGGAAGAGGATAGCAGGTGAATGCAGGAGGAATTCTGGGCACTTCCTATCTATGTACAAGAAAATAACCACTTTTCAAGGCCCCCCCCCCTCTTTCCCACCAAAGGACTCTTACTTGTCACTAGCCAGAGCTGTCAAACTCATTCCAACTCCAAAACCCTGGAGTGGCTTGGGCTGGGAAACACAGGGTCCATCCCAGAGTGGAGATCCTCCTGCCGAGGAAGACGGGGGAACGGATACGGAGCAACAGGGCTGCCCGGGCACTCTTATTCCTGATCTCGTAAGAAGAAACAAAGGTTGAGGAAGTCAGGTGGCTTCCTCAAGGTCACACAGCGGCTAACTGACACCCGGCCAAGTTCACACCATGGGCAACCGTGAAGCTCACCTTCCAAATACTCATGATTGGCCCTGGTGGGACACCCCTGGCCTCTGCACGAGGTGGCAGGGTGGTGACTGGCTCCCACCCTGAGAACCGCTTAGAACCCATGTCCACTCACAAAAATGAGCCTCCTCCTCCTCCCAGCAGAGCCAGGGTCCCGCCAAGAATCCCAGGAGGGTCCCAGAGGAACCAAATCCCCAGCTGTCTGTCTGTCTCTCTGCTCTCCATCCCTGTCTCTCTCTGTCTCCTTAACAAACCAGAAACGCTGGATTGAAGGGTACATTACTACTGGAGGTCACAGAGAGCGTTTCTTTCAAGATGGGTAACTACAGGGATGAGGAGGTCTCCATCCTGCATCTGATCAGAAAACCAGGCCAGCACCCTCTCAGCTGGAGCCAGGCAGGTGGGTGTCACCACGGGACCACAGCCTTGGGACAAGAGCCACGTCCTTTTCTCGAGATTTCTTTAGCACTCAGCAGATTGGCTCCCGGTCCTGATAAAAGCATTCTCCTGTCCTTCTCTAGCTCCTGAGTTACAGAGGGACAGCTGGGGACCAGAATCTGGGAGGCACCCTTTCTCCCCCAAGGTGTGTCTGGAAACCACAGGTGGGACATGCAGCAGCCCCGCCCCTCACAGCACTCAGCTCACAGGTGGAGTCAGCCCTGGCCCACTTTAGAGCTTACAGAAAAACAGCGAGTGGGCGACCCTGAGCTTCGTTTCATAAGGGCCAGAGCAAGTCCTGGTTTAACAGCTGACCGGTCCATTAGCCTCTCCGCATCGCTCTTCCTTCACTCGTGGGCTGACGTTTTCTTGCTACACATTGGGTGGTTTAACACCTGTTCATTCTGTCACAGTTTCTGTGGGTCAGGGATCTATCTGGGCACAACTTCACTGAGCCTTCTGCTAGACGTTTTATTTGAGACTCCAAGCTGTTGGCAGGGGCCACTTCCTGGCAGCCTTCCATCTCTCAGTGGCTTGCTTCTTCAGGGCCAGCAGGCTTTGAGACCTGGACTCTCTTTTAAAGGGCTCGTCTGATTAGGTCAGGCCCATCCCGATATGCCCCCCTTTGGTCACTTTAAAATCAACTGATTAGGGTCCTTAGTGACAAAATGCCTTTATCTTTTCCATCCTGTAACACAGTCCCAGAAGCCATAGCTCATTGTAGTCGCGTACAAGAAGAGGGGATCGTCTAGGACGTGCACAAGACGGGGCAGAATGGTGGACCATCCTACAATTCTGCCTCTCGTACCCTATAAAATGAAGAGACCCTGATTGACCCATTCCCTATGGTTGTTGTGAAGATTAAATAAAATGCTGAATGTTACAGGACGAGCCAGCGAGCAGCAGCCACTATAATTACGTTAGCATTTTGAACATCGTACCACATGGCATGCTAGGAGCTGGGGATTCAAAGAATAATAACCCAAATCTTGCTTGAAAGGAAATCATGACATTTCTCCAACACTAATCATTTCCTCCCAATTCAAAAGTTGGCAAAAAACAATAAAGCTTTAATCCAACCAAATAACTTTTCAATATACACCCTCGGGATTTTCTTGGCTTATCGAAGCCACTGTCAAAAGTAAAACATGCTGACTCCAATCGAATCCTGTAAGCCACGGGATTATCATTTCCACCTTCCAAAGCCCCCAGTTTGCCTGCTGGGTCGCACCTGGAGGAGAAGCTACAGAAGTCATTACTCCAGCGCAGGTAAACTCAAATTCCAACACGGTGGTGTCTTGGCTCCGCTTCCCGCTTATGGATCCCCTGGGGGAGCTTGTCCAGGGTCCCTCTCACCAAAACTCAGATGTGTGCAATTGCACCTGTGCACTCGCATGCTTGAAAACCTCTCAGGAGATTCCAACATACCACCAGCGTGAGGAATTGCTGCTCAAGCCAAAACCTGAGGGTTCCCCAATGGTCTGAAAACGTCGTTCCCCTTTAAAAGACACAGCCTGAAGGCCCAGTAAGCCAGAGACATAAGCAGCGGTCACACATTTTTCCATTGACTTTCAGCAAAGAGGTTGAAATTCAGCACATTTCACACCTGTCAAGCCACCATCCTTGGGGGGGAGGGGGCACTGCTGCTTTCTGCAGAGATGACTCTTCTCTGGGTGGCTGGTGGCTGGGTGGCACTGTCAAAAGATGAAAGTCACCATCTACCCCAAAAAGCTTCTGTTGTTCAGCATGTTTCTTCTCACTCATTCACCGTCCCCTCCACGTTTGAAGCGCCCACAACTGATGAGTTGAGCTTCGTGGCTGGGTGCTGTGGGTTCAAAGGTCAGTCAAGCTTACCTTTAAAACTCCAGGTCTAGTGCCATGATCCAGAGATGTCCTTCCCGCACCAGAGGAGAAGTGGTTTTAGTGTCAAAGGCATGGAACTAATTTTGAGCTTATAAACCATCTTTTTCTCCATTTTCTATGATTGTGTGTATCTCTCTAGGGTTTAATCACTTCCAGAGAACAGCTGCTCTCCAACTTTCCCTCCTTCTCCTCTGGAAAAAAAAAAAATTATTACCCAGGATGGGAACTTAAAAATTGCCAACAGACCCAGGTTGTCTCACAAGGATAAAGAGCCAGCTGGAGACCTGACCACCTCCCTCTTCTGCCATTTCCAGGAACCTCCAGTTCCTCCTCTCTCTCTCTCTCCACTACCCAGGAGCGCATGCGGAGCTGGGCTGACTCCTTCTCCATACCCAGTGCTCTCTGATCAGGACTAATTGCAAATTGACTGAAAGGGCTCTGCAAAGCCCAGGGCAGCTGGATTCCTCTTTTCAGATAATGCTAAGCCAGTGGCAGCCTTTGAAAAAGACTCGTGTAGTCTGGTATCATAAAATTCAGACTGGATTTGGTTTACCAGTAAGCCAGAGAAATGAAGTCCTCCCCCCCGACGCACACACAACGTATCGCATATCTACAAAGACTGAGATGCAGACAGTGGGAAGGAGACCAGAATTCCCATTCAGAAGAAATCCTCTTTGCAACCCTCGCCCATGTGTTTGTTTTGTTAACATTGATGGAGAATCTCCTATGCACAAGCCACGGAACTAAGCTATATTAGTCCACTGCCCACCAACCCCCACCAATGAAAAGTTTTACAATAGCAGAATCCAACCCTGACCTCAAAACTGTTTTGGCAGATGCTGCTACCGCCCCCCGCCCCACCAAAAAAAAAATCATTCTAAGTTACTTTTTTTTTTTTTTAATACCTACCAGTCATCCTGGGGAAGCTGCTCTATGAAGCTCACTTCACTCTCTATTCTTAATCTATTCTTAATATTGTCAGAAGAGATGGGGATCCCATGCAGGAGCCCCATGAGCAAGCCCAGCCCCACCTCCCCCTGACCTCAGCCCCTGCCATCTAGGAAAAAGGAAATAAGCAATACCCAAGGTCATGGCTGGCCCCGCAGAGGAAATGTGTCAGGGAAAACCCAGAGACAGACTGGCCATTGCTTATCACCTTGGTGCTCCTCTGTGGGAGAATAAGTGACTCTCTCCAACAACATTAGGAAGTTGGACCACATCAAGGAGGACCCCCGTGCTCCCCTGAGGGTGGCCACCAGGAGGAGAGTGGTTAAGGATCCCAGGGATGCGATTTGTCACTCTAGGATGCTGGGTCTCTGTGTCTCAGTAGAATGGAAGCTTGTATGGCTAAGCTGGTTTCAATGTGGGCCCAGGTGAATTCTAGAACATGGAAGGCCCCTTGGAGTCCCTGATCCTATCACTGAATCAGGTGGGCAAGCCTGGGCTTGGTTCCCTTGAGGGCTGCTCGTGGGCCAGGTCATGCCTGCCCTACACGTGGATATTGAAGTTGCTCAGAAAACTTTAAAACGCTCACTTCTATTTTGGAAGCCCTTGCTGTCTCCCTGCTACAGGGAGCATGGGGTTGGCAGAGTGGGTCTTGCCACCTGGTTTTGTCTGTGAGAACTAAAAATGTTCTTCCAACGTCTCAATGGTCGAAAAGGGAGCCCGGAGAAAGATATTTTGTGACGCAAAAAAAGTATTTGAAAGTCAAATTTGAATGTCCATAAA